CGGACTCACATGGATGTTAAATTGTCAAGTGTGACAAGTTGTTCTCTAGCTTGACTTGTCACGATACAAGTCCTTAATGAGTTGAGCCACATTTTTCTTGCTCGCACAAATTGACTAACGAGCGACGCGAGCTAGCTCGCTAGGTGAGCTAGTCTAAATTGTTGCTGCTTGACATTTTAAAATTTAATCCCCTCTCCTCTTCTCACCATTTCTTTGATAGACTGGTTGAGAGTAGAAGTTTTCCACACACCCTAAAACTGCCGATTCTACTTAAATTTTCATCATGTTCCATATAATATTTTTGATAATGTTCAATTTTATTGCTTAAATGTAAGTTTCAACCACAGTACTATCATGAATTGCAAAATGATCTTGTTTTGAGTTATAATTATTAGACAACACTTTGTTCATTAATCTAGCAAACATATTCTCTAGTTCCATGCAATGTGAAATCCGTTATTCCAACTTAAATTTTGTGTTGACCTCGATATGCAGAACAAATTCAAATATATTTTTTGCTGTTCACCTTCAATTCCCCTTCAAGTTACACCGAGCAGACATTGTTCGGAGTTACTTCAAAATAATTAAATTGTACATTCGAAACAAATGAGTACTCGATACAAGATAATATTATAGAATTTTGTAAATCATACTTCGAATTATATAAATTTTCTCAATTTCGAAATGTATGATAACCATATGCCTGAAGCCCCTACTTCTGATAATTCATTATTAAGAGCCAACTTCTTTACCTTAGTGGAAAAAGAGGCCCATGTAGCCAAACCTTCGTCATGTATTTCATGATTCGCACAAGACAAACATGAAAAGAAAGAGCATCATTAAGGAACAAAGAAAAAGATAATTCGAGGAAGAAACATGAGAGAGAGAGAGAGAGAGAGAGAGTACTGTGGCCTGGTGAAGAACAAATTCGGTTTCATAATAAAGCAGGATTGATTGATGGTGTTGAGTTAGAGCCACAACTCTGTTTCTCGACTAAAAGACTCTTTTATCTTTGTTTTTGCCATAAACGGACCAAGTCCCAACCGTCAAATCCCATTGCATACCATTCTCAGGCTCCGTGCAATTACTCGACTTTGCCGACTGAGTACCACAATAATGGTGCATATTACATCTGTCCTGAAACACTTTCAGCCTGCATATTCAGTCCAAGCAAAACCGCAAATCTAATATAGTTCGACTGAAAACGAGACGAAAAAGTCGTGTAACAATACTAATAGAACATGCTGATAATTTGATACAAACATCCAGTGTTGGAATATTCTAACAATATTTGGGGCCACACGTAACAAATTAAAATGTGTGGTGCTATTATTTAAAGTATAGTCATTAAAGTGATCCATAAAAGATAAATTTTTGACTGATGGGTATTAAAGTTTCATGGAATTAGAGTGTAGAGACCGGATGTTTGTTTTATATTGTTGAGGGGCCGATTTAAAACAAATGAAAGATAATGAATAGTCATTATCTTATGAATATATAGGTTATGGTCCCCAATTGTTAGTGGTTCTTCTAGATTCTCTATATTCCCCATCAATGGAGATCAAAAGGTTGTAGAGGAGACCATGAATCAATTGGAAGATCTAACCCCATCATGCAAAGAATCAGAATTTATGGATCTAAGGTATGTTTCCGCTTTTATTTTGATGTTCTCATTGATTTCAACATGGATGGTTAATTCGGTAATGTTTGATTATTGATGTTTTGGATCGATAATCACTTATAAGTTTTCTATCAAGTGGTATCAGAGCCGATCCATTGTTGAATCATTGAGAAATTCAAGTTTCTAAATTCTGAAATTTTTGGGTTATTTGATCTTCGCTCAACATGTTATTATGGATTAAGCATGTTATTGTTTGAATTTTGGTATGAAAATTAAGGATTATTTCAGATCTGTTGATTTTCGGAATTAAAAATCTAAGATCTGTTAAAGTATTTTGTGGAATTTGGCATATGGATTTATTAATCCTGTTTTCGGAATTTAAGATCTGTTGGATTTTGGATTTGTTGGAATTAAGGTTTCAGTGTTTTAAAAAAAATTATTGACCGCCGTCGGCTCCAGCATTGTCGCTGCTGTTCCAGCGCTGGAACAGCAGCGTGTTCCAGCACTGCTGGAACACGCTTCCAGCACTCCAGCAGCAAAAAATATAATGTAGAGGTTCTCTTAATACCTTTAAAACTAGATTAGTAGCTAAATGTTATTGACAAAAGGAATGAATAAATTATTTCGATACATATGCACCGGTAGCTAGAATAACATCAATTATGATATTATTCGCATTAGCTTCCATAGGTGACTTGCATGTTCATCAAATGGATGTCAAAACGACATTCTTAAATGAGGATCTCAATGACGAGGTTTATATAGAACAATCCGAAGAGTTTGTTCTACCCAAAAATGAACACAAGTTGTGCAAGCTAGAAAATCATTATATGGTTTAAAACAGGCACTTAAGAAATGACATGAAAAATTTGACTTAGTAATTATTTCATTTGGCTTTGTACATAATAGTGTAAATAAATTTTTATATTCAAAATTATGTGATAAATATGTTCTATTTATTTGTTTGTATGTTGATGACATGTTGATTATGAGTAATCACATGGATGGAATAAAATAAACAAAGAGATTTCTATGTTCCGCATTCAAGATAAAGGATCATGGACAAGTGAATACCATATTAGGTATCAAAGTTACAAAAAATAGCGGGGGTTACTATTTGAGTCAATCACATTATATTGAGAATGTGACAAATAAGTTCACATATTTGAATATAAAAGAGTATAGTACCCCTCTTAATCCGAATTCTAAGTTTATAAAGAATGATGGAAGAGCAATCGTTCAATTGGAGTATGCAAGTGCTATAGGGAGTCTAATGTATGCGGTTCAATGCACAAGACCAGACATATCATTTGCGATTAGTAAACTTAATAGGTTTAGTAGTAACTCGAGTAAGGAAGGCCATTGTGGAGTTCTTGGTTATTTAAAGAAAACCAAAAGCTTAAGTCTTCAATATTATAAGTTCTCGACTATATTAGAAGGATTTACTGATGTTAGTTGAATATCTAGCACTCGTGAGAGTAAATCTACTTTGGGTTTGGTGTTTACTATTGGAGGATGTGCAGTTTCTTGAAAATCTAAGAAACAGACATGCATAACACATTCAACCATGAAATATGAATTCGTGGCATTATCGGATACTAGGAGAGAAGCTGTGTGGTTTAATGATCTACTATATGGGATACCTCTGGGATTGAAGAATACATCTCCGATATCTATCATGTGTGATAGTCAAGCCACATTAGCAAAAGCATAAAATGAGGGATACAATGGGAAGTTTAGACATATGAGTCTAAGACATGACTACGTAAGGAAATTAATCAAGAGTAGAATAATTTTTCTAAATTACATTAAGTCAATTGAGATCCTAACGGATCCTTTGACTAAACTTTTTAGTAGAAATCTAGTTATATATACTTCGAGTAGGAGGGGGTTGAAACTCTTAAACTAAAAAGATTCACCAATGACGGCAACCTACCTGTCATTACTAAAACAGTAATCCACGTGTTCAAAGGGTAACAAGTCATTAGATAAGTGGATAGTTTCAACATTATAATTTCCAAAAGAACAATATTCTAATTATATAATGTTGGTTGTTACTTAAAAGAGGGTTAATCTTTAAAGCTCTTAATGAAATTTAGAACTAAGTACAAGTATCTCTAAAAGTAATAAAAATACTGGAAGAACTTCACCGTACTTTGAGATGGTGCCGCCTCAATGGAAAGTTGGAGTGTCTTTCTTAAAAGTTCAACGGATAGGACGAGTTTGAGGAACTTGTGAGCATATGACATATGTGTGTGTGTTTTCACGGGTATTATCACAAGAAATAACTAGTTCAAAGCTATCATGCTACCTTTAATATGGATGATATTTTGTGATAATTATACTATGGTTAAATTCAAATTGAAAGATGTCTAATTCGCATGCATAAATGTTTCTACTTTGAATATGTGTATCATTATACAGTTGAATAAGTGGGAGATTGTTGTAATTTGGTGTTCAATTTATAATGACGAGTATATTGGAATGATAATACATCCGTATGGGTGTGTATAGCAAGTACGAAAATAACGAAAACAAAACAAGAAGAAAAAATGAAGAGCTGAAATTTTAGCCTTGGCACACGCCTAGGCTTAAAGCGCGAGTGCCCAATGTCGCTTTCAATAACCCGAGGCCAAAACTTGCCCAGGCCAATTTTTTGACCTTTGGGTTTGAAATTTCTGGTTCCTTTTTTGGCACATTTTCAGGAAAAAATGCATCTTTCCATGAACCTTTGAGGCGTGTTCGTGGTGTACGATTGGGAATCTATATATATGAGATAGATTTATTCCTCTATATAATTATTACACCACCAACAATTGAAATCAATCCATTCATAGAGAGTTTTACAAAAGTTTCTTCATCATTTTGAGCATTCTTCTTCATCATTTTGAGCGTTCTTCAAGTTCTAACCAGAAAACACAAGTGCTCAGTGTCTTTCTTCTTCTAAGACTTGTTAAATTCTACAAAACATTTGCCTGAAATCCTTTTAAGCATAAAAAATAATCCTAAAGGGGGCAAATTTAGTTCGAGGACAGCGATTACGCGTTCAAGCCATTTTCCATTGTTTGCTACTTCTATTGGTTTTCTTCTCCATTTTCCTTTAAGGATTCAAATTTTATTATTTTTCAACAGACCTGAACTTGGTTTCTGCTGGCAAGAAAAACAGCGAAGGAAGACAATGAGAAACTTCAATGGTCCATGAACACAGGGTTCACAATAGGGTAAGAAAGGTCTCAGCATGCAAAATTTGACCAAGCGAAGAATAGTATTCAATTAGAAGATGAGACCGCTGACTGCATCTATATAAAGTGCCTCTGGCAGAAGCGGGATCCCAGACCAGATAAGTTTATTAGAGGGTCAATCAAAGAAAACTGCAAAAATGAGTGAAGAGGGATTCTTGATGAATTTACCTTCAAATATTATTCTAGACATTCTCTCAAGACTTCCAGCCCGAACTATCTTAAACTGCAAGCTTGTTCGCAAGAAATGGCTTAGCCTAATCTCAACAACTGAGTTTGTTAATTTGCATCTTTCCAGATCGAGTCAGGGCCTTGTTGTCTTCCAGCACGAACTTGGCAGATATGAAGTTTGTCGAATTTTCGAATTTGAAGATGATCCTGACCATAATGATCTTCACTATGATCCAGTGATCAAATTTGAGCTGTCAACATCGCTTGGCATCAGCCGTGGCGCGACAGTGCAAGTTGGTTCCATCAATGGTTTGGTTTGCTTGCGCAGTTTTGACCGTGAATACGATGCTCTATACATATGCAATCCCATTACACGGGAGTACGTTACCATGCCGGTGCTCAACTGGCTCTTTGGATTTCCCAGCCAAGTCTTGTACGGGTTTGGATTGAGCAGAATAAGTGGCCAATACAAGGTTGTAAGAATCTTCCACGAGTGTGTCCTTGATCCCACAACAGGGGCATTGTTAAGCATTCCAAAGTCTGAGTGTCACGTTTACACCCTTGGAACAGGTTCATGGAGAGGCATTGGCGGTGTCCCATTTGCATATAATTGTCGATCTTTTGGTCAATTTTTCAACGGAAATCTTCATTGGGTGATTCAAGATTTAGAGGGCTCTGAGTTGATTTCTTGTTTCGACGTGGAAAAAGAGACATTTCAGCCATTCCCCTTTCCCTTTCCTGGTGAGCGACCTAGCAGAACTCTACACAGTCTTGGTGTTGTCACAGGTTGTCTATGCTTATGCGACAATACTTCAGATTCTGAAATTGTGATATGGGTTATGAAGGAATATGGAGTGCAGAATTCATGGACCAAACAATTTGTCATTAGTAAAATGCCAGGTTTTGCAGGGATTTCATATGAACTGGTTTATGCTTTAAAAGTTTTCGAAAATGGGGATATATTGATGTCTTGGGAGGACTTCTACTTGTTTTTCTACAGGAATCAGAACAAAACTTTGCAAAAAGTCGAAGTTGATCGTAATTTTTCCATTCAGACAATGCTTCATGTCCCAAGTTTTGTTTCACTCAAGAATTTTGTAGTAAAAGAGGATGTAAGGATGTTCTGAGTTCTTATATGATCCAATATCTTTTGAAGTCTAGCCTTCACTATTTCTATCTCGATTAAATTATATCAATTTGGAGGTACATGTACTTGTAGTTCCAATTTTCATTGAGATTTAGAAATGAATCAATTCTCAGATATCTTGTGAAAGATGTCATACGAATTGCTCTACATGCGAATTAAGCTTAGCAATTCCAGAATCCCATCTTAGATATCGTGTTGTCGAGAAGTGTGCTATATTCAGTTTATCATATATTAAAAAATGTGGTTTTTCTTCTGAAACTTGAGCGCATTTTAATGCCATTATGATCACAGTATCATCTCTTTATCTATCCTATGAATTATATGATACTCGTAAGGATTTTTAAAAAATGGATATACAGGGTTATTTTACATCAGCATAAGGCACAGATTAGGGCAGTTAATTTCGTTGCCACATTTCATCGAGGTACAGTTTCACTTAATAGTTCTAAGAAAAACTCCATCTTTTGGTATTTTCTGGGATTCTTGTTATGGATAGCGCCAATGATGATAGAGGTTGGACACAATTTGTAATGACTGGATTGAATCAATGCTTCACGTCTCAAGCTTTCTTTCCTTCAAAGATTTTGCAATAGAGAAAGTACTGAAGTTAGGACTGTTGTCGCCAAAACAAGAAGTATGCCTAAGGAAGTTTATCCTCTACATTTTCAATATTAACACAGATGATAAATGTTACTGTTATGGAAATATTTCCACACTCCCCGTGATTTTGTTTAATTATTTCCTTTGTGTGCCTGGTTTGGACCTTGTAAATTATAATTTAAGCAGCAGTGCCACAGAATGTGTTGATAAAAACTTGATAGTAGTTGTGGGTGCTTAGAAATGTATGGATAAAAAGTACTTCTCGACCAAAAGAAATTAATGCCCAATTTTTTCCTTTCTCGCTTCCATTGTTTCCGTCCTACTATGTTTGGTTAAGTTTCTATCACGAACTCTGAAGATGCATCAACTCGTAATTTCAGTATTCATTGAAATTTAGAAATGAATCAATCATCACATCTTCTATGCAAAATGTTCTAAGTGCAAAGCTTATCAATTCCAGAATTCCATTTTATAAATCATATTATCAATAGGAAAGGATAAACTGAAAAAAGAGCTTTTTTTCATTGGTGGTGTTTTGTATTGAGAAAAACAAGAAATTGTACTCAATATTTAACAATTGTTGGTGTTCGTGCTGGTTTATTTGGAGCATAGTCACAGAACTACATTCAACTGGATGCGCACACATTCATTTCATGCAAAAAGGAAGGAAGAAAAGAATAAAAGGCCGATGATCAATTTAACATAGAACACTTCATATATGTACTTGGATAAAATAGACGAACTTTCAGTTTGAAATACTGTTGTTGCTTCTTCTACTATTGCAATTTTATCATCTCATCTCAACGGCTTTCGGGTCCTTGAAGGCTGATTCCATACATGCTACAAAGTTGCAATGTGCATACAACCTGTTGAGCAATGTAATTCACAACATTGTTCTTAGTTAGTAATGCAATAAGCAGCTTCTTGTTTTGAAGAGCTGATGTCCTGATGTCCATAGTACCTGAATGCTAGTGAAAGAACGGCAAGTTCTTTTTACAAATTGAAGCATTTTGAGCTTATTATACTATCGACAAAATTATGTAGCAAATTCTGTTGTAACTCTATATGCTGTTAGATTATCGGCAGCAGATGCTGGTGCGTGAATGCTGAATCCATTCACATACAGTCCTTCGAGTACTGTTTTGACATTGTTCTTACTTGGCAATACAAAGTACAGCTTATAATTTAAAAAGCCAGTGTGCTTAGTTCTTCTTGGAAGTCCTTGAAGTGTAGGAGAGGAACTATTTGGAAGAGATCTTAACTTAAAAAACCCTTTCGAGACTTATTCATGAAGAAAAGATGTCATGCTTCAATTGTATGTGAAGTGGGATTCCATGACAAGTTATTTTTAGAGATTATGCGTCAACTCCAACTATCCTAGAATTATTATTGCAACCATTGTTGGTTGCTATAATTACCACTCAAAAAGTTAAGTAGGCAACTAATTGGTCAAAAGCTCTCACCTAATTCCACATCGATCTCATTTGCCCTTTCATTTATTAGAATCTAATTTTCATAATCAACTAATAATATTAGAAAGTTGAGCACTCTTAGGATCCGTTTGATTGCGAGGATGGAAAATGGGTGGAAAGAAAATGTTTTACAGGGAATTGATTTCCCTAGAAACTTTTTTACTGAAAATTGTAATTAATTGTGTTTAATTGGTATAATTTTTCATGAAAAATGTTGAAAGTTTGTGTCTATTTGACTTCTTTTTTAATGAAATTTATCCATTAAAGTGATACTTTTTTCTACCATTGGGTCTAAAATTTGTTCCAATTGTAAAATTTTTTAAAACTTTTTTTAAATTTACCATACTGAATATCATCCGTTTGACTTTATTTTGCATGGAAGTTGTCAATAAAAGTGAATTTTTTTTTTCCATTGTATCTAGAATTTGTTCCCAAAGAAAAAAAAAGTTGGAAAATATTTTCCTCGAGTGTCTGGGGGTGTCAATTATCGAATTGCATTGACTCTCTCTTGAATTCTGAAAATTTCTATGATTGTGCCGTTGAAAGATTTGGGAAAGTCAGAATAGGAGAACACTTATCTTGGGATGAACTTACTAATTCAAAAAATTCAATGGTTATCCGTTATGTACTTAACTACTCAGCATTTATAGTGGACACGATGATTAAAATACGAGATATGCGTCATTCTCGATCCCCTCTTGTTACAAGAAGGCTCTCTCAATGTTCTAGACTTCTAGTGCCAACATCAAATTGGACTGAACTATCTCCCCCACAATAGCTACCAAAATGTGCTATACTTTCTTTCATATTTGTCACAAGAATTACTGAGATTGCGTTTGAATTTAATTTTGAGGAGAATATAAATTTTGGAATAGTGATTTATATGAGAATGTGCAGTGAAAAAGTGATGAAATTTTTTTGATTTGTATGTAGTGTTACTTTATTCAAAGAATGTATGATTGAAATAAAGAATGAGAATAAACTAAATGCTTTGTTGTAAAAAATATTGTTGATTTATAAGGAGACCCCAATCATTGTCGGTGAACACAAGCCAGATAACAAACAGACGTGACAGATAAAAGTAAAACAGAGAAATTCACGATTTCGGGAGCCACGGGTAACGTCGTCACGAATCGGTTGCGCGGCCGCAGATCGGCAATGGCTGCCACCGGAAAACCTGTTTCCACCGCCGTTTCATCGTCTCCGGTGGCCACTTCTTTCGATTTCTCTGCCGATTCGCAGCCTCTGAGACTTACTCTCACTGCCGATCAGCTTCGCAACTGCTCTGAAGCTCTCAAGTTCTTCAAAGCCAAAAAGTTTAACTCTCCTCAAACCATCCGCCAGGAGTTCTTAACCTTGCAGGTATATGATAACGTACACGCACATATCTGTCGTCGAATATTGTTATTGAGGTAGTAGGATTGTTGAGTGAAAAGCAAAAGACGATAGAGAATAATTTTCTATAAGAAAATGGAAGGAAACTGAGTTTTCGTTTCGGAATTTTAATGGGTATTTTGGAAGGAAAATGATGATAATTGAATAGTTTTCAAGTCAGTGAGTATCACCTTTTTGTTCTTTTCTTTCCCTGTTTTCGGATTTCTTGTGTTTTATGCCAAGCAATTAAGAAAGATTCGTTTTTTTAGGTGATAAGCGTATCAAATTATAATTGATTTGAAGTTCTAACGAAATTTTGCTCACGACCTCACAAACTGAGGAAGAATCTTTTTTCTTTTCTTTTCTGAATTTCTCTAGTTTTATGGCAACTGAGGAAGAAAACCAAGAAATTAGATTTTCTAAAACGTAGTTTCAGGAAATAACGGAGTACAAACTAGAGCAGGTCATTTTGGTAGAGTTGTTAGATTTCTCCTATAAGAAGTGAAACATGCATATACTACCCCTAAATTAGGTTATATGTTGCAACGGTTTCTGAGGCTGCCAAGTTAGATCCTAATTGCATAGGTTTGCTAACTCTAATGAAAGGCTAACATTATAGCTTCGACTTTAATTATTCTCTAATATTAGTAGATTATGCCAATTGTCGCCTTTTCTTTTGACTTGATGGATATTCAAGGCGTGTCCATATCTAGTGAATCCAATTGAATTTTGGAGGGGAAGATTGACTCTTCCGGATTCAATGGAACGATTAATCAAACGCTAGATTCCGCAAAGTTTCAAATTGCTAATTAACAAATCGCAAGCCTCATCCTTCAGCTGGGCTTGGGATTGGCTACAAAAAAATTGGCCTAGTTAGTCTAATTACTCTGGAAGAAGAGGGAATAGTATTATTGCATAGACGCATTTAGCATGTTTATGGATGACGAGGAATTAATGGTGATAATGACCTAAGAGTGTGATATCTATGGACTGTAGATGTGATATTTTAATGTCGGCAAAACTGTCCATGTACCCCTTAAGGTTTTTTGGCTCGCTTTTTTTACTCTTGGTATCTGCAAGTTGTGCAGTTTTACTGTGTTGCTCCACAATCCCTTCTTGTAACTGAAAGGGGGATTTTGGCTTTGCAATTTAAGTTGCATGGAGTCTAACCATTTTTTTGTTTTCATTTCATAAAATCAAGCAGGATTCTCTCTAATATTGCAAATATTATTTGCACACTGCATTTGTATTGCACTTATGATGAAATAGAGCTCTGTTTTTTTCTGTATGGAATATGAGTTGTCCCTGTCAAGATGAGTTGACATGACCTACTATTTATGATGTTGCTAAATCAGAAGTCCTTCACTTCATTCTAAGCTATGTAGAAGATTTATTTATTCTTATTTATTACAGGCTAATAGGACGAAAGCTTTGGACATGAGGAATAGATGCGGAGTGGCTCTCAACAGTGTAAATTATAGCAAGAACCGTTACACTGATGTCATACCATGTATGCCAAATTGCCAATCCTGCA